AGAAGTTAAGGATAATAAACAGAAAAGATGAATATAGAAAAGGAAGAAGCAGAAAGAGATGAGGAGGAGCAGGAACAGTTTGGATGATGAACCTGGAAAAAGCAGTGTAAATTAAAAATTCAAAATGAAACATCAGACATAAATTCCAACATATTTTCACAATTGATACAAAAAGTTAAAACTACCAGGTAAAGACAAAGATTATCAGATGAGATAAAAAATTATTCATATGCTATTTATAATAGATATTCCTAAAATATAAGGTATGAAAATGATTAGTTGGGAAAAATGTGAAAAGCTGCACACGTCAAGGTGGATAAATCTGTGAAACAATATTGAGAGGAAATACAACTCTCAGAATAATGCACGGAAGATGATCCATTAACATACACTTCAAAAACATATAAAACTAAACAGTAGGTTAATTAGGAATACGTATATGCTAAAACTATAACGGAAAGGAACGATAAACCCAAAACTCAAGATAGTGGTTACCACAGAATAGTGTAGGGAAGGGGTATTTAGGAATGAATGACGGTATAGGATTAAGAAGGGATGAAAGGAAGCTTCAAAGCTATAGGCAATATTATGTCTGAGCCTCATTAATAGGCAAGGAGATGCATGTTTTACTGGTATGACAAATTGTCTTTTGGAAATGTTTAATATTTTATTTGAAAATTTAAAGTAAGTCAAAGTATTAGCAACTTCCAATTTCTGATCTTGAAAGACTTCCTCAGATCATGTTCATAAAAATGAGTACAATGATCTCACTGCTTGTCATAGGTTTTTCTGTTTCTATCTTTACACATGAACTAGATCAACTCCAAAGTCAAGATCTTCCACCTGCTTTGTGTTTTTAAATTCCAGAAATGAAGAAAAAATAGATTCTAAAAATGACGTTATTAAATGGAATAATGACATTCAAAGGCCATTTATTTGTTTTCATGTAAACACACACATTTCTGCAAAATTTTCCAAAATGATTTTCCCAAAATTATAGTTATCAACTTAAGAATCTCTTTAGAAATCTAACAAAAATAGAACTTTATGATAAAATTATTCTTGTTAATTTGAAAATGAAAATTTTAACTATGATTAATGGAAAATAATGCCTAAAATCTCAAAACACAAAAACCTGATAAGCCTAGATTTTGAGACAAAGAATCTTGCCCTTGACAGGCACGTCAAATTGAGAAAATAAAGACACCTTTACTATATGCATAGATGAGTATGATCTATAATGTTGCTGTCTACCTTTTTATGTTTCTAACCAAATGTATTCCATAATTCAAACATAATTATTGACTATGTCAAGATCCACTAAAAGCAATATTTGATAATTTGAAGAAATTGGTCTTTTCCCTGGTGTTCAGAACTAGCTCAAAACTGTCACCAAGAATACTAGATAATCAAACAACAAATAAAAGATGTTTGTGATCTCTACATCAAATCTTCATAAAGCAAGGCAAATAATCTAGTATTTAGCCTACTGGTTTTCACATAATTCATAGAGAGTAAAAGGCTGACATGGCTCACAATTGCTAAGCAGTTTCAGAAGTTGAAGAGTGGCTCTAAAAATATTACATATCCAGAGATGAGAGGGGTTGGGAGTACGGAGGAGTCTACTTTTTCCTTGATTTTTTTTTTTTTTTTTTTTTTTTTTGAGATGGAGTCTCACTCTATTGCCCAGGCTGGAGTGCAGTGGCATGATCTCAGGTCACTGAAACCTCTGCCTCCCAGGTTCAAGGGATTCTTGTGCTTCAGCCTCCCAAGTGGCACGGAGTACAGGCATGCACCACCACGTCCAGATAATTTTTGTATTTTTAGTAGAGACGGGGTTTCGCCATGTTGACCAGACTGGTCTCAAACTCCTGGCCTCAAGTGATCTGCCCGTCTCAGCCTCCCAAAGTGCCAGGACTACAGGCATGAGCCACCGTACTCGGCCTTCCTTCATTTTTTATTTAAATAAATCCTGAACTTACACCAGCACCGGAAAACCATTAATCAGTTCAATTTTCTTTTTTGTTCTATTCAGACATTTTTAAAACTTTAATTTACTTAATGATATGACAGGTCTAACAGGATCTCAAAACTTGACAAAAATTAGAAATCCTTTTTCGTCACATACTGTATGAAAATTAAAAACTGATTTAAAGAGCAGGCACATCATAACTAACAGGAAAGTCCAAAAATTTGATTACAGGCATAAGTTCCCAGTTTTACATGCCCACCTAAGTCATTTATCTAATAGGAACACTGGACAAAGAAATATTCAACAAGTATCATCTTGGGCCAGGCACAGTGGCTCATACCTATAATCCCAGTACTTTGGGAGGCTGAGGCACGTGGATCCTTAGAGGTCAGGAGTTCAAGACCAGGCTGGCCAACATGCTGCGGCCTGCCTCTACTAAAAATACAAAAATTAGCCAGGCATGCACGTGTAATCCCATCTACTAGGGAGGCTGAGGCAGGAGAATCACTTGAACCTGGGAGATGGAGGCCGCAGTGATCCGAGATTGCACCACTGCCCTCCAGCCTGGGCAACAGAGTGAGACTCCATCTCTAAAAAAAAAAAAGGATCTTCTCAATTTTCTCTCTAAAAATAAAGTGGCATGATTTCAGAAAAAATTCTCCAATGATAATATTTTCTATTCTTTTCAATTAAAAAAAAAAAACTACTTCATTGATAACATCATGGATTTCTAATAACATATTCTAGAATTGTGAATCCTTAGAGAAACAATTCCACCAGATTCTAGTTTTTCTTCTTTAAATAAGGTTCAAAAGAACCAGACATAGCATAATTTCCCAGTGTTTTTAGGTAAAATCACAATAATAATCCATTGTCAGATGCATGAATTCATATATACCTTCTATTTTGTTTTCCTTTGTTAGCACAGACATCTACTTTTGAGTAGATAAAGAAGAGGAGAATAATAATGGTAGTAAATAAAGGGTCTAATTCTCATTATATTGAAAAACTATGAATATTTCCTGTGCCCACTGGCAGACAGATAAATTGAGAAATGAGTGTGAATTGTCTCCCCAGTCAACCCCCAAATACCCTCTTCCTATGTTTAAATTCCACAGAAATACGGTGTGAATCTGCTTTGTTTCCTCAAGCCCTACACCTACACATACTAATGGAAAACAGCAGGTGCTCAGTAATTTTTTTTTCCACTCTCGTCACCCAAGCCTGGAATGCAATGGCATGATCCCAGCTCACTGCAACCTCTGCCTCCCAGGTTCAAGAAATTCTCCTGACTCAGCCTCCCAAATAGCTGGGATTACAGGTGACCGCCACTATGCCCGGCTAAGTTTTGTAATTTTAGTACAGATGGGATTTCGCCATGTTGGCCAGGCTGGTCTGGAATGCCTGACCTCAAGTGATCCACCCGCCTCGGCCTCCCAAAGTGCTGGGATTACAGGCTTGAGCTACCACGTCTGGCCAAATATTTTTTTAAATGAACATATTTTATAGGCAAAGATTAGGCTGGACACCAAAGCTCTTCATTTATGAATATACCTGTCAAATAAATTCCCTAATCCATTCTCAGTTTCTAATACTAGCCAAGGTAAGATTAAAGAAGGCTAAAATTAAAACCTCATTGTTTCAATCCACAAATCTTTATGGAGCATTTCCTGCATGCTAAACAGTGTGTCTGGTAACAAGAGGCAAATTACACACATGAAGCCCTAGTTTCATGCCTACCATTAGTTTGCAGTCTATAGGACAGACTGGAAATGGCAAAATATGGAAAAATAAAGTTGAAATACAATAAAGTTTCTTTGTTTACTCATCATACTCTTTAGTTAAATGTCACTCAGTCTCACATCTCAGCAGTTAAGGTTGTTTTCTTTTAAATACTTGTATGGTCAAGGATTTCTGCATACTATAATCCAGCCACAGAAATCTCCAAAAAAGTAATAATCAGAGCAAATTCTTCTCCATATCATGAACCTCCAATTATAGTATGCAATTCTAGCTTTCAGAACACACACACACACACACACATACATACATGACTACATATACATATATTCTTATGCAGAAATAATCATTCATTTCTTACACAGTAAAAACCCAAAACTGATCTACAATCCTTGCAGCTCTGAAATTCTCTGATTCTGACTGTTTAGGTATTTCATAACAGCTTCTGCTTGAATTTTTTCAAGAATACTCTTGTTTAGCCACTTAATTCAGAGTTAGCATATGGCCTCCGAATAGACTGAAATCTCTCTTTTTAGACACCACAATTAACATACGTGATATATTTCAGGTATATCTTCCTGGTTTTTGTTTTTTTAACAAGTCTGTCTCCCACCACGCAATAATCTGACAAGTTTAAATATGCCCAGTTTATAAAAATATATTTACATTGATTGTTAAATTTTGTTCACAATTATTTCTTAGAGGCAACAAAAATTAGCCGCATTTCAAAACTGACTTATGGAAACACCTATGGTACTGTTTGCATATAAAGTACAGGATACTCACTTAAATTTGAACTTCAGATAAATTTTTTTTTAGTGTGTGTCTAGAATTGAATATTTCTGGTTGTTCTGTACTTTTATTTGGTAAATATAGCAAAACTAACCTATAGGGTCCTACAATGACATTTCCAACAACAGAAAAACTGAATTAGTGGTATGTCTTACTGTATCAAATAACATTAGCAAGTAAATAGATAATGACAAAATTCAGGGTGAAACTCAGTCATATTAAATTAATAGTTTCTCGCATGACAGTTCTCTTTCAGAAAACACCTTAGGTTTCTAAAAATTCTATGGGGAAAAAAGCTTTTCTAAAGTCCCTGAGCAATGTACCACTCAGTAATAAATGCAAAAGGTACTATTGAGACTATATTTCTTCCTGCTTATAAATATCAGGTATTCAGTTTGTACTTTAAGAAACTGTTGAGGTTTACCAGGCACAATGAAAAAAAATATTAAACTAAAAGAACACATTAATGACATCTGCCCTGTTGGTGTTCAAATAGATGAATTACCTCACAGGATTGCTGGTCAAAGACACTCGGAGAGACTCCAGGCATGTGACAAGTCTCTCATCTGCAGACCCCATTTTCAGCTCATGAATGAATTCCTGAGGTGAGATCTGTCGGCTTCTCTTAAGACTCCCCTATAAAATAAGTCAAAAAAATTTTTGATTAATACTGCATGGAGATTACCCATTAAAAAATAACAAGTTAATCCCCCTAACAGCATCACATAACTACTATAATTAGCACTATTTGGGCAGGGGTGGTAGATAATTTCCTTACTTCTGCCCAAAAAACTATAAATTCATAATCTGTGATATCCACAAAAGATATTAATATAACATCAGAAGGTGTGCAAATTGAAATAATTGCTTTCTCAAATGTAAAATGTCATGGAGAACAATTGTGTAATATAGAAAATATCTTAAATTACAGTAATATTTTTAGGCACACACAAAATAAAACTCAATATAAGAACTATCCTATTAAAATTAGTATTCTAAGCAGCATAGAAAAGGCTATTAGGTATTAATTCATTCAACTACCATTATAAGCCTAGTTCTAGGCACTATAGACACATGGATTAACAAAAAGTGAAGTCTGGAAGAAATGCAAGCAAGAAAATAATAATTTTCAGTACAATCTAGTTCCTGTAACACAGCACAAAGAGACTCAAAGAAAGAACATCAAACTTGGCAGAACAGATCAGGGAAGCCTACATAACAGGGGTACATCTTCCTGGTTTTTCTTTTGTAAGTAGGCATTAGGCAGGCAAAGAATGAGAAAGGAATTAACTTCCAGACCAAAACATAATATACACGTACACATGGAGAGAAAAACAAAAACATATGCAACTGAAGACAGAGGCCAGATCATGGAGTGATAAAGCACTACTATGCAACTAGCTCTCCTGGGGAGTTTTGGAAGGATCACTCCAGTGTGAAATATGAATTAGAAGAGTTAGAGTTCACTCATTATTCAACAAACATTAAGTACCTACTAAATACTGGGCACTGTTTTAAGTACTGAGAATAGAGCAAGGATGAAAGAAGAATAAAAGATTGAACTTCCTACCTACATGTAGCTTTACTACATATGGGGAGAAATAATAACTAAAATGCATTGCACTGTAAATAATACACACTGTAGAGAAGAACAAAAGCAGGAAAGAGAATAAGTAGCATCATATGAGACATGCAATTTTAAACAGGATGGTCAAAGAAAGCCTCACAGAGAAGACTTCAAAGGACTCAAACTTGAGTGTTTAAATAAAAAGTCTAAAGGAGATAAAACAGCTAACCATGCAGATATAGGAAAAAAACGCTATGATGGAGGGGACTGTAGGTTTTACAGTCCACTCAAAGAACTTGGACTTTTACTCTGAGATCAGAAGCAGAGAGATCTGTTGAGAAGGTATCTATACAGCCTAGATAGGAAATGATGAGGATGGCGAACTAACAATAAAGTTCTGAATTATATTATTTAAATTACAGATTCACCATCCAATGGCAGGAAATGAATTGTGTAAGTTCAAAAGAAGATCAGTGAAGTGGCAGGAAATTAGGTGTTTTTCATGTTTTTTGTTTTTATTAATTTAATATAATGTTATTCAAGAAAACATTCCCAATAAAGCAAAACAAATTAGCACTGTAAAGAAGGGTTATTTTTATTCATGTCAATATCAAAGTAGTAATTTAATAAAGAATTCAATGGTACAATCTCAGAAAATAAAAGGGGAAATGGTGAGAGCTATGAAAATGAACATCCAATTATTTTTATCACAGTCACTGATATCATTCAAAGAACATATTCAACTTGCACCAACACAGCACTTATCGATGTCTCTTTTTGCTCTGAATTATCAAAAGATTGATTGTTCAACAGAGAAAATTTGGAAAACACAGAAAAGCAACAAGAACAAAGGTGCCTCAAAATAAGTACTACTAATATATTTCTACATAAAGCATTTTTCTCATAGAGTATTAATATATTTGCATATATTTATATTTTAAAACATATATGATATGGTTTGGCTGTGTCCCAACCCAAATCTCATCTTGAATAGTAGTTCCCATAATCCCTACAGGAGGTAACTGAATCATGAGAGCGTTTACCTCCATGCTGTTCTCATGATACTCAGTGAGTTCTCACGAGATCTGATGGTTTTATAAGAAGCTTTTCCCCCACCTTTGCTGTCACTTCTTGCCTGCTGCCATATAAGATGTGACTTTGCTCCTCCTTTGCCTTCTGCCATGATTGTGAGGCCTCCCTAGCCATGTGAAACCGTGAGTACATTAAACCTTTTTAACCTAGTCTCGGCCAGGCACAGTGGCTCATGCCTGTAATCCCAGCACTTTGGGAGGTCAAGGTGGGCGGATCACCTGAGGTCGGGAGTTCGAGACCAGCCTGACCAACATGGAGAAACCCTGTCTCTGCCAGGCATCGTGACACATGCCTATAATCCCAGCTACTCAGGAGGCTGAGGCAGGAGAATCGCTTGAACCTGGGAGGCAGAGGTTGCGGTGAGTTGAGATCGTGCCATTGCACTCCAGCCTGGGCAACAAGAGTGAAACTCCATCTCAAAAAATAAAAATAAAAATAAGAGTAAAAATAAATAAATTACCCAGTCTCAGGTACATCTTATTAGCAGTGTGAGAACAAACTAATACAATATACTTTACTTATTTAAAACATCATTTGATACCTATTGTTCTATAGGCTACTGTTATCTTTAGGCAACACTTCATGAACATATTCCAATGTCAATACATAAGCCATAAAAAATATGACCTCTTCCTGCCTACAGACTATTGCATTACTTACTTAATTAGTCCCTGGCTCTTGGGCAAGTAGGTTGTTTACAATTTCTTGATATCATAAATTTTTCAAGTTTCCTGTGCATGCTGTCAGGCCAATATTTTTATCCAAAAATATAGCAGTAGAGGTTAACTAGATGATCTCTTGTAGCCCATTCCAAATTTATTTCCAAAAAACTTGCAATTCGGGTAGGATCAAAATAAACTACAACTGAATAAATAGATTTTTTTCTTCAACAATAAGTAAGCTCCATGTAGCAAATACTTTTTAAGTATGAGAATAACCAATAAGTGCACGTGGATAAGAATAAAAGTGGTATTAAAAGATAAAAAACAAAAACCACTTATCCTACATCTTAGCCCTGTCTCACAAAGACAGTAATTCCTAATTCCTTTAACAGTTTCTTCTGATAGTTACTTAATATGTCTAAATAATGTGCCTGATATTTTTAGATTTCTAAATATTCATTATTACCTTTGATTTGTATTATGAAAAATAAGGATTTTAATTATCTTAAAACATTGGAACCTCTTCTCTTCCATCTCCTGAATAGCAATAAACTCAATTGAATCAAAAGATGCCATTCCATGAAATGAGAGCTAACTGAATCCACATTTTATAAAGTCCTTACAGCTACATCCCTACAGAGATGAGTTCAGGTATCCAAAAATCTTTTTGCTTTAGTTCATTTTATCATCACTCAACAGGATATTATATGTATGTCCCAATCATAAAATCACCCAATTACTGTAAGGATATGAACAGACACTTTTCAACAGAAGACATTCATGTGGCCAAAAAACATTTAAAAAGCTCATTATCACCGGTCATTAGAGAAATGCAAATCAAAACCAAAATGAGATATCATCTCATGCCAGTTAGAATGGCGATCATTAAAAAGTCAGGAAACAACAGATGCTGGAGAGGATGTGGAGAAATAGGAACACTTTTACACTGTTGGTGGAAGTGTAAATAGTTCAACCATTGTGGAAGACAGTGTGGTGATTCCTCAAGGATCTAGAACTAGAAATATCATTTGACCCAGCCATCCCATTACTGGGTATATACCCAAAGGATTATAAGTCATTCTAATATAAAGACACATGCACACATATGTTTATTGCAGCACTGTTCACAATAGCAAAGACTTGGAGCCAACCCAAATGCCCATCAATGATAGACTGGATAAAGAAAATGTGGCACATATACACCATGGAATACTATGCAGCCATAAAAAAGAATGAGAAAACCAAACACCCCATGTTCTCACTCGTAAGTTGGAGTTGAACAATGAGAACACATGGACACAGGGAGGGGAACCTCACATATCGGGGCTTTTCTGGGGTTGGGGGCTAGGAGAGGGATAGCATTAGGACAAATACCTAACGTAAATGATGGGTTGATGGGTGCAGGAAATCACCATGCCATGTGTATACCTATGTAACAAACCTGCATGTTCTACACATGTATCCCAGAAATTTACATATTTTTTTTAAAAAAAAGAAAAAAGGAAATACCTATAGATAAAACTACAATACATTTGTGGAGAGAAACTGAGGACAACCTATAAAAAAAAACATGTCATACCATATTCATAGATCAGAAGACATAATTTTATTAAGAAATCCATTAAGTATATTTTCTGGAAAAAAAAAAAAACCATAGATTCAATCAATGATTACTGTCAAAATCCCATCAAGTGTTTTGTAGAAATTGAGAAGTACATCCTAAAATTTATATGAAAATAAAGGAGAACTAAAATAGGAAAAACAATTGTGATAAAGAACAAAGTTGGGGGGCTTACATTATCTGATTTCAAGATTAACTATAAATCTATAGTAATCAAATTAGAGTGGTACATGCATCAATGGAATAGAGAGTCCAGAAATATAACATATCATCAACGATTTTCACAAGTTTCCAATGTAATTCAATGGCGGGAAGAAGAATCTCTTCAACAAATGGTACTAGAACAATTGGACTTTCATATGAAAGAAAGAGAACCTGGATCCTAGACCTAAAAGTAAAAGCTAAAACTATAAAACATCTAGAAGAAAACAGGTAAAAATCCTCCCTGCCTTGGAGAAGAAAAAGATTTCTTAAATAGGACACAAAGAGTACTAGCTATAAAACCAAAATATTGTACCTCATTAAATTCAAAAGTCTCTTATTAAATTAGTTTCAGTAAGGAAATGAAAGGTAAGCACAAACCAGGAGAAAATATTTGCAATACAGTTAAGAACTGTATAGAGTCTGAGATTTCAACTTACATACAAGCTAAGTTAGCCTGTTATTATTTCACAGATGTTAGCAGAAAACACAAGACTCCTGGATTAGAGACAAAGGACTTTATTATGAATGTATTGGGTCCCTAACCCACCAAATCACACGGGGACAATGCAGGGCCCATGGTGAATGCCTGCACATGCAGTGGATTGCATCATAAGAGAAGAACACTGAGCTTGGGGTACTCACCATTTTTATAATGAGCAGTAATAGGCATGCTCATTGTGCAGAGGGAGGGAAAACCTCGCCTCTCCAGGCTACTCACTGCAAATGCAACTCTGAAAATGGGATGAGTAAAGAGCAATCAAACTTTGCATTCTTGGAATAGCCAGCAAGATGTAGGGAAACTCAGGACCCATGCAACACTGCCTCTCCCAATGATACATTTCATAAAGGACTAGTATTCAGAATAAAGAACTCCTATAACTCAATAGTAATAAGACAAAGAAATTAACAAACAGATTAAAAGTTTCATAACAGAAGATATGTGAATGGCCAATAATCACATGAGGACATGTTCAAGATCACCTGTCAGCAGGGACGTTCAAATTGGAACCACAAATGAGGGAGTGCTACGTAGTCCCTATAGTAGTCTCCTAGAGTAGTGAGAATTTGATACTCCTGGAACTCTTCTGCACTACTGGTGGACACATAAAATGAAACACCCTGGAAAATGTTTGTTTCTTTTAAGTTAAATATACATTGCCCATATTACTCAGCAATTGCACAGTTAGGTGTTAAGTAGGAGGAAAAAAATGAAAAAATCTACAATGTATGGAATACCTTTATTCTTAACAGTCAAAATCTGAGAACAACCCAAGGATTCATCAACAAATTATAGTACAACCACACAATGAAATACTATGCAGCAATAAAAAGAATTCACTACTGATAAATGCAACAAGACAAAGGAATCAAAAAATTATGCTAGGTTGAAGTAGCCCAAACAAAATGTACACAGTAGATGGTTCTATTTATATGAAAAACCAAAACTAACCTGTCAATCTTTTCTCTGGGGCCATTACAATTCAGGCACAGAAGCAGAGCTATTAAATTTGGTGTATTTGGCTGAAGGATGGGATAAAAAGGAGGCAACATTTTAAATAGGGCAGCAAGTAGATTTAACCAATAAACTAGGAAAGACAGACTAAATCCACTAGCTAACGATAATTACTTCAGCAATATTGAACTGTCCAACTTGAACAGTTTGTTGCCTCAAGGATTCTGCATTCCCACCTGAGAATTCTGCCTCTAACACACTCCCCCCTTACCCAAACCCTCACCACCACTACTACAAGCCTTACCCAGTCCTACTCCTAAACATTGGTTAGACCTGGGCTGAGAGTGACTTCCCACAGAAGGCCTCTCGTGAGCACACAAGTCCCTTCCCCCAATCTATGGATTCATTTTTCATAACTCTTATTCTGTATTAAAATAACTCTCATTATTACTTATTATTTAAAGGATATATTGAACACCTATTGTGTGCCAAGTACTGTTTACATGATGTAGACACAGAAGTGAAATAAAAGTCAAAGATGAGTCCTAGGA